ACAGCCATATCATATTGAAACACCAGTTCCTGTATGATCACCAAAGTTAAGCAACATCGAGCCTGGTCAGTACCTTGATAGGTGACCTCTTGGGAATACCAGGTGCTATAAGCGTGCATGTGCAGGTGGTATAATAGGAATATGGCTATATCATGTTGAAACACTGATTACTGTTCAATGACCAAAGTTAAGTAACATCAAGCCTTGTCAGTACCTTGATGGGTGACAGCTTGGGAATATCAGGAGCTGTAAGTCTGCATGTGCAGGTGGTATAATGGGATTATGGCCATATCACATTGAAACACCAGTTCCTGTACAATGACCAAAGTTAAGCAATGTCAAGCCTGGTCAGTACCTAGATGGGTGACTGCTTGCAAATAAAAGGTGCTGTAAGCCTGTATGTGCTATAATGAATAATATCTCAGAACTGGATTCCAATTTAGTTTGTTATATTCACTTACATGCAAATACCCTTGAGAAAGGTATGAATCCACCACTTCTCACCCCCAGCAATGGATTAAATAGTAAGACTTGCATCACTAAATCATTATTATCTCTAAAAAAATAAATCTTACACTCTGAAAATATTTTCTGGCTTTAAATAACCTGCAAAGGGTTGACAAGCCATAGAAAATGAATCAATCAGTTAATGAAATACTGATTAGCTACGCAGACATTAGATTTATTTAGATTCTCTGGAATATAAATGTATAGAGACTAATGCAGCCACAAAGTGAGGGATCAGTTTATATATTGATTGTAATATAGAATTGGTCCCTCACTTCATATCCACATTATAATTTCTTGTTTGTTTATCAAATTCTGAGTAGGTATTAATCCTTGTCATCTCCCCCCCCCGGTATGGGTTAATTAGTTAGAAAAAATATTTTTTGGCTTTAAATAACTTGCAAAATAATAATTGCATATTTTTCATTTTTAATATTATAGAATACAACAAAAATACCCAAAGAAAAAATTATGTAAATGAAGAAATATTTTGTTCTAAAACTTCTCTCATACATGAAAAATTAGATTTTAACTTCTATATCCTTATGACGTAAAATTTGGCAACAATGACTTGCTAATTTTGTCGTCTCGGCTATCCTTATGATCATAAGCCAAATTCTAAAGCTAAAATAAATGGATTATTAGCAGAATCAGAACAATTTGGGAATAAATCTCAGTATTTTTTCTAAAAATGGTAAATAGCCGAATGACAAAACTAAAGAGAACGAATAATCAATATTTTCAAGTAAAAAAAAGAAAAGCAACTCCAAAAGTCAATATCTGAAGATCAGATTTTTAGTTTGTGCAAAGAAAAATTTTTATATGTTATGCTCAAGTCCATAGAGTCAGAGTAAAATACAGGGTACGACAGAGATACAGTCCACCTCTACTTCCCACATAATGCTAAGACATTAGTAGCAATGGTATCTTCATCAAGCTAATGTTTTACCATTATGTGAGAGGTATTTCTACCACAACCTATATATACGTTTGTCTGTCTCATATACACACATAATGAGGTGCTGAAAAATTCTTGGCCTGAACCACTTCCCAAAATTTAACCAAATGATGAAACAATAGCAGATTTTTTAACCACATTTTGGTTAATCTGAGGACTTTTAAGCACTCCTATGAAATTCATTTGATCTTTGCTTTAAATAATAGCTTATCTTTGTTTTGGGGAAGTGATTTGGCCAAGTACTTTTGAGCAACTTCTCATACACTTGGACAGCGTCTAAACTTTGTCATAAAAAGACATGGTCATTGTTAATCAAAGGAAGTGGTAATAGAAGTTGGTGATCAGTTATGCATTGTTTGTTAGTATTAAACTGATCCCCTATTTCTTGGCCACATACACACAAACACATTATGTATACTACAGACACACATTACATATACTACATATGCACACACACACACATATTACATTTTACAACATTCAGCATAACTACCTCCTGCATAATGGCAAGACATTATTAGCAATGGTGTCTTCATCTAGTTAACATCTTACCTTTATGTGGGAGGGATTTCTGCCAAACCCTGTATAAAGATAAAAGTGATTAAACATTTGAGATAATTTTTCTCTCCAGAATCTATCTTACATATCTATAAGTCTACCAATCATCCACAATCTGGTGACCCTGCTATTTACCTTGAGCTCCTTGATAAAATCTAAAGAAGAATCAGCAATATTTTTGGCCTTGATCTGGCAGCTCAGCTTCAGACACTTTCCCCACCACTGTAATTTTGCGTCTCTGTGCCTTTTATATAAATACTTTCATGGTAATTGTTCGGATGAGCTCTTTTTTAATTTAAGCACAATATAAGACTGGTGTCAAGATGTAGCCATAAATTCTATGCTAACAGTTTCTTGTATGTGGAACTCTTCTGGCTCCATGCTTTCCAACAAACTTTAATTTGCAGAAATTTAAATGCAATGTCAATCGCTATCTACTGTCCTCTTGATTACTTTTTTCTTTTTTCGCTCATTATTAATATTTCTGTTCCTAATTCTTCGACATCTAGTAACCGCTTGTATCTTAATGGCTTTATTGCCTTGCTTATGGAACTCCTTTCTGGTTCCATACTTTCCAGCCAACTTTAATTTTCTAATATTTAAATGCAATGTCAATCACTATCTACTGTCCTCCTGATTACTCTTTTTTGGTTCTCAGTAAACTTTCTGTTTTTAATTCTTCCTTCCCTTGTGTCTTAGTGGCTTTACTGCCTTGCATGGGGTGATACCAATTAAAATATATATATATATATATATGTGTGTGTGTGTGTGTGTGTGAATATCTATAGTTATAAATGTAAGTAAATAGATGCGATTCAATATATAGATTTCATTTTATTTATACTGTAACATGGATGATGTGGGGAGGGTAGACAGGATTATTTATTGATAAAAGAATCAAAAGAAATTAACAAGTGGAATTGAATAATTCTTCTCCAGTAAAATCTTTCTTTCTTTCTCTCACCTTTGCTGACATAGTAGTGGGCTTCTCCTCTGTTCTATCCCTAATGCCCACACACCCACCTGCATGCAGGTATTGATTCACAGATCAATTGATCACTAGGAACGTTACTCGATGCTTACATCATAGCTATGTGTAAACATCAAAGCTATTCCCCTTGAGGCATGGGGGGATTCCACATTTTCAACTGGGAGAGTGTGGAAGAATGTAACTTTATAAAATACAAGATCCATCTAGAGAGGTGTGTGTGTAAATATATATATATATATATATATATATATATATATATACACACACGCACACATATATATATGTACACACACACACATATATATATATATTATATATATATATTTGACCCAAGCCATGTGTGTGAAATTGGATAGATAGCTGTGCTAACAGATTGTTCACCATGCTAAATAACACATATCTCCCAGAAACTGTAATAAAACTGCACTCAGTATAAGTTGCAGTATAAACCACAGTTACGCTCTGTGGGTTGTCAAACAAACATAAATGTGCCTGAGCAGATGTCTGCAATAGGGATTGCTAGCATGCAGGTATCCTCGAATATGAGTGGCCAGCTATATACATATAAATATGTGCATACACACGTGTGTATATATATAAATATAAAATAAATGCGTATGTGTGTGTGTGTGTATATATATATATATATATATATATATATATATATATATATAAAATAGAGAAAACGCAAACGTTTTTGGTTATAATGTGGATTTGTTTTAGTGTATATATTATATTTTATTCTTCAGATTTTTGCTACACGCGTTTCTGGTCTCATGACATTCCTTCTTCAGACAAAGGTATTAAAGGTATCAAAATTTAAAGGAATAAAATTTCTTTATGTTCTTTTAATATTCCATTGTTCATTTTCTGTATTTCTAGTGAGCCTTGATCTCATTTTTTCAACTGTTGGTAAAAGTGACTTTTTGCCAAAGTTGTAATAAAATCATTAGCTTTGGTCATAGTGGTGGCAATGACATGTGTTGATGATAGATGCCTCCCCTGTCAAATCTTTTTCCATTTTTTTGTATCGTGAGTGCGTGTAAGCATGCGTGTCCCCACTAGCTTGCATCGATGCCTCCCAAAGATTCTGCATACCCAATTTCACTAACAAGGCCTGGGTCAAAACCCTAGAATAATTTTCAGGCACTTCCTTCAGACTGATAACATGAAGAAATCACCTTCCTGACAAATTGACCGTGGTGAGATTCGAACCTGGGTCTTCATGGTCAGAAATCAAACTTTCTAACCACTTGGCCATGTGATATATATATATATATATAAAAAAAATAAATAAAAAAAAAAAGTTTAAACACTAATATTCCATGGTTATAATTTATTCCATTGGAATCGTAAATATGATCCAATTCATCAGACCTACAAATTCAAAAAGAAAACAAATAAAACAACTCGGGGAATTTTTTTTTTTTTTTATTCCCGGAGTTGTTTTCTTTTTGAATTTGTAGGTCTGATGAATTGATCGTATTTACGATTCCAATGGAATAAATTATGACCATGGAATATTAGTGTTTAAGCCTTTTATTATATCTTACTCTGTCCTGGACATTCAGTTCCACCTGGATTCTATCCTCTTGGATTTATTTTTTATACAAATATATATATATATATATATATATGTATGTATGTATGTATATATATATATATATTTATATATTTTAGATATATGTGCACATATGTTTATGTAAATATCACATTAATCCAGTGTGATCCCAATGGACAGAATGTGTCACACAAAAAACTTTTCTTACTTTCTCACAGATGCTCCTTATGACGTTGGTCCCACATTGCAGCTGAAGGCAGTTACATCGAATAGGTTGTAAGATGTGGTTGTTTCGCTTATGATCTTCAATATGTCCTCAAATACCAGACACACCTTGTATGTATGTGTGTGTGTATATATACACACACACATATATATATATATGTATGTATGTATATGTATGTATCATCAAGTCTGACAATTATTTTAATATATTTTCTGTTTATGCATTATTTTTACAGATATAAATATTTAAGTGAATGCTCTGTTTATAATAAACTGTATTAGCAGCATTTATGTTATACCATAATACCTA